CCATAAAAACTTGGCATGTGCTGTCCGTTGTTATATCTATCCCCCCTCGCACCCCCACCTCGTCTCGCACTTCCTGCCACCGCAGTGGGAAAGACAATGCAACATTTAAGAAAATTTAAGCCGCAAGCGACTTAAAAACGAGATGAGTCCTTTTTTGGGACAGAGAAGCATATGATTTAGTCCTTGTCTGTGCTTTGTTCTTGCCAAGGATTTGCTTTTGGCCTTTGGATTTTTTCCTTGTGTATCTGTGTGTGTGTGTCAAAAGGCCAAAGCCCCACAGCTTGATGACTGGTGCCCAGCTAAAGCTTCTGAGTTAGATAGACAGCCAAGCTATTGCTGTTTGTATCCTGTTAGCTTTGCCTCCCTAACCGACGCACTGGCTCCTCGACAAATTAGTTTCTAATACCTTTAAGTCAAACAGTGAAGACGAACAGATAAAAACAAATAAACAGATCTGCCGCAGACTGAGAATGAATCGGAGTCTGAAACAGAGTCTGTATTTGAATCTGAGGCCTAGTCTGAGACAGACTCTGAGTCTGAGTCTGAAGCTGAGGCAGAGTCGGAGGCAGAGTCCTAGGCGCACTTTTGGATTGGCTAACAAAATCACTTAAGCGTGGCATGTGCATACATCTCTCTCTCCCGCTCCCTCTCCCTCTCTCTCTCTCTCTCTCTCTCTCCCGCTCTCTCTTTCTCCCTCTCATTATATCTGCTGCCTAATTACAAGCAGCCGCCCGATTGATTTGCAGTAAATTGTGTTTTAAATAGTTTCCATTTAGTTACGCTTAAACATTCGAATACAAAGCAGCTGCTGCTTCTCTTTCTGCACCAAACTAGTTATAAAGATTGCGTAATGATGCGGTCATGCTTCTCCCCCACTCCACCCCTCCTTCCTCAAGCCACGCCCCATCAAGCATGTGGTCTCTTAATGAGCTATCTGTAGCCCGTCTGCTTTTACCTTCTGTGTGTATTTTAGCTATTTTTTTGAGCCAAAGTTTTTAAATTAAATTTTAATTGTTTATGCTACGCAAAGTTAACTCAAACACATCCTTTTTGTGTATTAAAATTTAGTTTGCGATTTAATTAAAGTCCTGTTAAATCTAGCTTGAAAATGGCTAGAAGTTAAATTGAGTTCGGGCTAATGCAATTGTGCTGCCTTCTCAAAGTTGACCTTGATTCAAGATCCTCACAAATATGTTTACATTCATAACATATTTATTCATAATTTTGACAGCCGACAATAATAAGCTACAAATGTCTTGAGTCGAGTGATGAAGCAGGGAGAGGGGCTGTGTAATGCCGTAAACTACCAGACCCCATGCGTATTACGAGCGACATTTGCATAACATTGTCCAAAGAGTTGATGACGAGGACGATGACAAGGGAGGGAGCTGCGCGCTTAAATCAAAAAGTTGGCACAATGAAAAGGCAACGGCAACTGCTTAATAAAAGAAAATTATGCAAATTGCTAATAAATTATAGTGAGCCAGCGAACGACATGTAAAATAATAACCGGCGAGTGAAAGGAACAAGAAACCACGATTTTGACCTGGAGTGCCGAATATGAGATACCCTTTCTGAGAGACTTATAGTTGAAGTGGGATATGTTTATATATCTATTACATTACACAGCCCCCCCCTCCCTGCCCCTCTACTCTATGGTTCATGCCAGACTGCAAGCATAGAATTCCGGCTTTAATTACAAACGAAATTAATTAATATACAAATTGAAAATTGCGACAAAATTTGAACCAGCGACTTTCCATTTTGACAACTAGCACACGCTTGAACCAGAAGCTAGGTGCAATAAGGGTGCCTCAAGGCAAGGCACAAACTCCCGAACTTTAACATTGGGATTACATCAAGGCTCAAAGGTTAGAATAGTCGTAAAGCTTGTAATTGCAGAGTTGGGTTTGAACCAACCAATTCACACGTCCCCAGACGAGGACAGGAGCTTGAAACGGGCGAGCTGGATTTGAATATCTCACAAATCAAAAGGCAATAGTTCAATTGCAATTATGGAATCGATGTGTTACACATTTTGGGAGAAAACTATAATACTCTCGGCAAGGGTAAACCGAAAGAATCAGACTGCAGCTGGAAGAGGAACAGGAACTGGAGCTTTCGCTGTCGCTGGTAGCGAGCGGGCGAATTGAATTATAAATGTAAGCACAATGCCAATGGAACCGAATGGTGGCCAGAACTGTCGAGTTCCGGGGCTGATGTTGATATGGACACAACGGCGCTGAAAAATCATTAAAATAATAAAGCGCTGTATGGCTTGCAAGACGCTGTCGTCTAGGTCGCAGGACACAGCACGCAGGACGAGCTGGCATTAACTGGCGAATGGATAATGGCGAAACTTTCTGACATTTATTGTGTTTTTGTGTCGAATGTTTATTTATGATTGCATGTCGCGTATTTACATTACAATGGCCATAACTAACGTTGACTATGCGTATCCCTGTGCGTATGCGTATTAAATTAATGATGCTTTCTAGTTCATAAAATTCGTTATGTGACCAGAGAGTCGGAAGTGGAGACGGGTCGTGGTCCGGGTCGGGCTCGAGTTCCGTATAGTCGCTGACTGTCAACGTCAAACACACAAATCAAATAATCACATAAATGAGAGCACATGCGCGCACACACACTCAGGCACGCACACGCACACACATGTTTGTTGTGTCTATTGAATTGTAACAAATTGATTGTCATAAAACATCGTTTATATTATATTAAAATGTGTCATTGGTTGTTCATGCTTCAGTTCAGCCAACAAAACCGCCGTCGAAAACTCTCAGCCGTTGCATAAGAATTCACAAGTGGCGCTTTGAATGATTGCGATAAAGATGCTAACCAGTGTTGCCAAAACTTCTAATTTCCCGTCAAATCTGGCTAAGGTTATAGTGTGTTTTTTGAGGATTTTCGGCTTGATCAAAATTCATATAAATTAATTGATAGCAAATAATGCGTACTTTTTCCTATTAAGCATTAAATTATGGTTTGAAAGTGTTCTAAAACGCCCAACTAATTACTTAGCGTTTTACTACACTGTTTTTAAAGCAATGGAAATAATTCCAAATATATTAAATGAATACAAAAAAGCGAAATATGTTTTTATTTAAAAAAAATATGTTAATTATTTAACAGCTTTTAAAAAGCTATCATATTTTATGCAAAAAGCTTGCCATGCTCGAGATATAAGTTTCTTTTTGTATTTCACAACACTATCGTTGAAGTAAACGAAAGTTGTGTTAAAAAAGATAATATCTTAGATGCATGAAGTATTGAACAAAAGAGAGCAAACTATTTTTTTACCAGTAAAAATTATTCTTAGGCTTTCCTTTAGGAATTGCCCTATTGGCCCTCCAAAAGTTGGCAGCACTGTTGTGTAACGGTGCTTAAGATTTTAGGTGCAGATGGGTGCGATAGTTGCCGCCCGAGCCGAGACTAAACAGAATTTATGACTGTTTACGACAGATTGCACACTCCATTTGTTTTGTTTACCACATTCTCTTTTTGGCACACTTGACACACTTCCCAAGAACCTTGACGAGGGAACTTTTTCGTCTTTGTCTCTGTCTCTGTCTCCTTTAATTAGTTGCCGTATTGGGCCGCTTGGGGCGCTGCTTTAGCAGCTGTGCCCAACTGCAAAAAGTGCCCAACATCATATGCATGATTTGTGAAAAACTTTTAACTGTCCCCACGCCATACGACAGGAGAGTTAGAGGGAGCAGAGCCTGGCAAGCTGCCGCCAGGCAGCCTGTTTTGGCCAAGTTTATGAATTTCATAGCCAAAGTTTTTCGCCAACACATAAAACATGCGCACAATTTGTAAGCTGCTGTTCGTCGTTATTCGCCTGCGACTACTTTTGCAAAGAATCTTTGATATCCTTCCTGGCACTAACTGGCTTTACAAGCCAGCCATTACCGAGTTACTCGCCCGGCTCGCTCAATTAGCTCGATAAATCTCATGTACGCAGTATTTTGGCGTATATACCTCATGATATCATCAAACACGAAACAGACATAATCTCGAGCCAAGTCACCATTCACAAACGACCTTTCTAAACAAGCCCCAGCATGGGCAGTTCGTTGAACCGTTTCTATGTACGCAAATTACCGATACCCAAGACTTGAGAATCAACATTAAATTAAGTTGGAGTACTCTAGTCGGAAGTGCCCAACAAGGGGATACCCTGAACCCAGCGTCAAGCATCCCAAGCCCAGGAAATCAATTCGTGATTATCTTTCATGCTTACAGTCCGATCTTTAAGAACTAGATCTCCGTATACGTAAAAGTTTACTGCATAAAATATAGTTTAAATATCTCTTAATAACAAGTTATTATAAATAGTCTGAAAGCTATAAAAGGAAGCAGTAAAATTCCTCCAACTTCTGTAGTAAAATATCCACGATTATATATTTAGTCATGTCTCCAGCTTATGTAGTTTCCAACATAGACATAGAAAGACGGACGGATCCAAATTTATATACATAATTGATTCGGATTTGCTTCCTCTGTCTGCAACATACACGTGCACATAAACATTTTGGCCATCCAACCCATTTACAACCGATTGAGGGTATAATAAGATACTCTTATGACAATAGAGATCACGCCGAAAGACTTGCTGTCATTAAAATCTTAAATATTATTGTTTTTTTTTTTTTTTTTTTTTTTGCATTAAATCTTATTATATGCGGTATCTTGACCGTGAAACATTCGAAAGCGAAACAAGGTATTCAGTTCCGCTCTGCCCAGCCGCGAACCGGCTTCCAAGCCACGAGCAGCCGGGCGTTAGGGGCACGGGCACGGGCACTTGAGGCCTCAAGTGGGCACCATGTGCGAGCATTTGGCTTGCAAATGCTCTGACCACAGTTGGGCTTCAGCATCGCTGATGCTGCTGTTGCCGGGTGTTTTGTTGATATTTCGAGGGCGGGGCAAACAAAGTGTTGGTCATTGTTTGGTTTGTTGTGTGTTTATGCGGTGCTTGGCAAACATTAGAGCGTATAAATATTGCGGCAAATTGCGACTATTAATCATTCGACCCATAGATTCCATCGATAACACAATTTGCTTTGGACATCTATACCAAAATGGTAGGTAGCCAAGGATTAGCCCATCAGGATTATCAGGCTGTCATCTTACATCGCCACCGCTTCACCTTATTCCAGAAACTCTTTATTGCGTGCATGTTGATTGCCGCAGCGACGGCTGCAGTGATTCCTGTCGAACAAGCCAGGCACCGTCGTGATGTCTCCGATATCGCAAATGAGTATATCCCACCATTGGAGGAAGTTGGCGCTGATGCTCCCACTGAGCACGTCGCCCAAGTCCCCACCACTGTAGGAGAAGATGGTTACCGCTACAAAACAGTTCGTCGTCTAAAGTACCGTCAACGCCGCGATGTCTCAGAGATTGCCAACGATTACCTACCCCCTTCGGAAGAGGTTGCAAGCGAAGCACCAGTTGAGGAAGTCGCCCAAGATTCAGCCGTTCTCGGAGATGATGGCTACCAGTATAAGACTGTCCGTCGCTTGAAGTATCGTCAACGCCGCGATGTCTCGGAGATTGCCAATGAATACCTACCTCCATCTGAGGAGGTGGCCACTGAGGTTCCAGTTGAGGAAGTCGCCCAAGAAACAGCTGTTTTAGGTGAAGATGGCTACCAATACAAGACTGTCCGTCGTCTGAAGTACCGTCAACGCCGCGATGTCTCAGAGATTGCCAACGATTACCTACCCCCTTCGGAAGAGGTTGCAAGCGAAGCACCAGTTGAGGAAGTCGCCCAAGATTCATCTGTTCTCGGAGATGATGGCTACCAGTATAAGACTGTACGTCTTCTGAAATACCGCCAACGCCGTGATGTCTCAGATATTGCCAACGATTACCTGCCGCCTTCGGAAGAAGTAGCCACTGAGGTTCCAGTTGAGGAAGTCGCCCAGGATTCCGCGGTTTTAGGAGATGATGGTTATCAATACAAGACTGTCCGTCGTCTGAAGTATCGTCAACGCCGCGATGTCTCAGAGATTGCCAACGATTACCTGCCCCCTTCGGAAGAAGTAGCCACTGAGGTTCCAGTTGAGGAAGTCGCCCAGGATTCCGCTGTTCTCGGAGAAGATGGTTACCAATACAAGACTGTCCGTCGCCTGAAGTATCGTCAACGCCGCGATGTCTCAGAGCTCGCCAGTGAGTATCTACCTCCATCCGAAGAAGTTGCCACCGAGACTCCAGTTGAGGAAGTCGCCCAGGATTCGGCTGTTCTTGGAGATGACGGCTATCAATATAAGACTGTCCGTCGTCTGAAATACCGCCAACGCCGTGATGTCTCAGAGATTGCCAACGATTACCTGCCGCCTACGGAAGAAGTTGCCACTGAGGTTCCAGTTGAGGAAGTCGCCCAGGATTCCGCGGTTTTAGGAGATGATGGTTATCAATACAAGACTGTCCGTCGTCTGAAATATCGCCAACGCCGGGATGTATCCGAGATTGCAAATGATTATCTGCCCCCTTCGGAGGAATTGGCCACTGAGGCTCCCGTTGAAGAAGTCGCTCAAGATTCCACTGTTCTCGGAGAAGATGGCTACCAGTATAAGACTATCCGTCGCCTGAAGTACCGTCAACGCCGTGATGTCTCAGAGATTGCCAATGAATATCTGCCCCCTTCGGAGGAATTGGCCACTGAAGCTCCAGTTGAGGAAGTCGTCCGGGATTCCGCTGTTCTCGGCGAAGATGGTTATCAATACAAGACTGTGCGTCGTCTGAAGTATCGTCAACGCCGCGATGTCTCAGAGATTGCCAACGACTACCTACCTCCTTCCGAGGAAATAGTTGCTGAGGTTCCAGTTGAGGAGGTAGCCCAGGATTCGGCTGTTCTAGATGAAGATGGCTACCAATACAAGACTGTCCGTCGCCTGAAGCTGCGTCATCGTCGTGCCTTGTAAGTGCGCCAGCTGCTGCCTGCCTGGATACGATTAGAGCCCCACCAACTCCTATTAGGACGTAAGTAAGGAACCTGTTTTGCCATTATTTAGCGATTGAAATCAACGAAATAAATCCAACGAAAATTGTTATAATATACACACGTCGTGGGTCGTTCTTTGTTTTAAGCGGACACACCTGTCGGTGGAAGCCGCCAGTTGGCCAGAAGTGCTCGACGTTTTCATAAATTGTATACCTTTTCGCTTAGTTATGACAGCAACAGTTAAGCTCATGGCTCAGCGCACAAGAACGCAATTATCCAAAAGCGACGGCAGCAAAAAGGACTCGGGAACTGAACTGGGAATGGGACTGGGACTGGGTCGGACCGCGCCTTAGTCCGGAGAACTTCAACGAACTCTAACAAATACTTTAAGCTATGCTTTTGAAGATGTTAATCTCATGTCAAGTCCACTTTACACACTACGTTAAGGGTTCGGACGCCGCACAACATGGCTAACAAGGACAAAGTCGCCCATTGATTTGTGTGGGTGTCTGTGTGTGTGTGGTGTTGTTTGGTGTTGGCAGAAAAAGTTGTTAAGTTAAAAGGCATTTGAACCACAGCGGCCAGGATTTCGGTCAGCGTGCCTTTCGGTTCTAACAACTTCCTACACAGCGCACCCAGCGACCGGCCAACTAATAATAATTTATCGATCCCCCAGCTCAAGTAGTCACATACGTGGTCCTTCCTATGATTTATGGCGTCCGTCTACATGTGTGTTTGTATGTGGGCGTGCCTGAAAACAAACTCAGCCCAGCCGAGGTGCCAGGCAGACCGACAGCCGCACGGAAGGGCTGTGGGACTGCGGACGGGTCAGCGCAGTGCCAAATTGGTTTAATGTGTGGTTAGACAACTTATTTAACGTTTTTCAAGTGGCTAGCAAAGGAGATGGGCAAGTTTTTACTCGTGCCACGACGGCCTGCTCTGTAAAGCTCTGTTTCCTATCTTCCTTGTGAGTTCTCTCAGCCAGTAACTCCAAGCTTGCCAGATGCCTCGGAAACAGTTTTTTCCTAAGGACTTTATATATTGAGTAATTATGTCTGCATAAAAAATTTAAGCCAAATGTCATATTTAATTGAATTCGAGAAGCTCTATTTTCTGCGTCTTCCATGGCAGTCGTGTAAAACCTTACCTTCAATTCTAAAACACGACTTTCCCAGTTTTTCAACTGCCTCTGCAACGGATTTTTAACCAACATCAAACACGTTTAAATGCTTCAAATATTGACAAAATATTATTTCTAAAATATAAACTAAATATCATATATAATAACAGCTAGAAAACTTATACCGCGCCCATCTCTACTCAGCAGGAACAAGTGTACCCAGCGCCTCAGAGGTGTCCCAGACGGTCACATAACGTTTTCTATCATGCAATGCCAAAGAAACGGGTTACCCGATATGCCGACATGCATATATAGTAAGAGGCTAGCCCGGAGGGGAGGTTGGCACTGAGATATGCTCGTAAATTAAAGGCCGCTATCAAAGGCGACGTTATGACATCATTAAAGCAATTATCAATGCTGAATTATAAGCGCCTGATAGCTTGAGGGAGGGGTAACGATCTGAAGAGCAAACTATTTTAATGGCCTTGGGAAAAATATGCGAACTTCAAAGCGGAAATCACATAAAATTTTATGAATTATTTCAAATATTTTCAATTACTCGAACGCCAGTCGAGAGTCGAGGGTCGAGTGTCCACAGTCGACAGTTGAGAGCCGAGAGCCGCCAGTCACCCCAGTTAGATAGACAAATGGAAGAGCATAAAAAACCGCATCAAGAAATTTATGCGCCATTCAAGCGTGGAACATTAACACATCCTCCTAACAAGGAGCTGCTGGGTAAAGTTGACTGCATAAACAGCGGAATGAAAGTGAAAATACGAGACTCGTAATGTGCGCTGAACAGCAACTGCTCCAATATTTAGCTTGATTAAAATTCAAAAGGTCTTAAGTTCAAAAACCGAGGCAAAGTTTTGTTATTCCCAGCGCCCAGTGAAAGTGAGCACAAGGGGAATATTGTGGGAAAAGATAAAAGCATATATTTAGAAAAGCATTTCTTTATCCTAAAATATCTCTCTGGGTTTGCGATTGGTATTTCGAGCAGGAACATACAACTTATACCCCGGCTTAATAAATCGATAAATATCGATCTTGAGCCACTTTACCCTACATGTATGAGCTTGCGAGTCTTCAGGCTTGGTTTGTGGACTTTTAAAAACTTCTTCAAAGAACAGGAATTTCGAACTTCTAACTCTTTCCCCAAAAATATCTCTCAGCTTGCAAGTATCTAGACTTGGTTTATGGGCTTTATAAATATTATTTAAAGAATAGGAATATTTAATATACTCCCCAGCTTAGTGCCTGCTGCAGGGTATCTTTTAGTAGGATACCATTACAATTACTTGAATTTTTGTTGTTTCTTAAAGCCATAATTCAGCATTTATAGCATCATTATCACAAATGCCGAGGGCGATCTAGCAACACTGTATGTCCCCTCTGGCCATGCCCCCTTTTAGCCAGCCCGGCACGAAAATCAATTTTGAGCTCAGCTCGCTGATTAGCCGCCTGCACATGCAAATAAGCAGGGGATCTGCTTGAAGGGATGGTCTGGAGGAGGGCTGAGAGGATGCTGCGGATGCTGTTTTTGCAGCTGCCATTACTATGTAAGCCCGAACTTGGCCAGGACGTGGCCAGGACGATGCAGCCGAACAACTTTATGGCCACAATATAATTTATTCAATGCCATTTGGCGTTCGGGGTGCACAGCACATGACAAGCAATTGACATTTTTGTGACTTTTGAAAACTATAAAATGTGCAGCTCAGCCATACAACAGGCCACAACAAACCGGCCAGGCCAAGGCAAAGGCAACGCGTAATGATGACGGCCATAAAGACCACAACAGCGTGTGGGCCAGACGCGGTGCGGCAAAGACTGCGGCAAAGAGCTGGTTTGGGGATATATAAGTAACCCATACAAAACATGTACGAATGCTTGAGTCTCCAAGACAAGACTAGGAAATACCCTAGGTAGCCCAAAATATGCTCAAGAGTGCATGCAAGCTGTTATTTCAGAAAAATATCTTTAATTTGTTAGTCATGTTATTCAAACCAAGTCTTCAACTATATATAATATATATTTTATTAGTGCTTCCCACCACCTGTTGCATATTTTAGCACAAAAATATGATGCCCATTTAAGCCGTTTCCAATGGGCTTAGGGTATAAAAAACATTTGTTGTTCGACAAAATAATAAAGTTGCGCTTGATTATGTTTGTGTTGGTGCCACATTCTCTCTCTATATCTCTCTCTTCCTCTCTCTCCCTCTCTCTCCTCTCTCTTTCTCTCTATTTCTGTATGTGTATGTGTGTATAAGTAAGAAGTAAATACCAGATACCAAATACGACAACTAAACTAAAATTTTCAGCATCATATGTAACAGGACTTACAGCACATTACATATCCCGCCCACGACTACAAGGTCCAGAACCCCAAGGACAAAGACCAAGACCACGACAAGGGCGACGACGAGGACGAGGAGGACGACGTTGACGTTGACGTTGGAGGCGACGCCCATTCCCTGCCCCAGTTCGCCGCCATTTGTGCTGCTTGTCAACGGCAATGGCCGTATGCCGGATATCCTTTTTGACATGTCATTAAATTTTATACACACAATAATTTTTCACAATTTGCTTTATGGCCACTTTTAAGAGTCTGTCCGATGTGTGCGTTGAATATATTATATATATTTATAAAGAGTGTAAAGCGAACCAGCCAGCAATAACAAGTTGAGTTTATTGAAAATAGACAACACACTTGGCCAGAACCTCCTCTCTCTCTCTCGCTTGGACAGCCTTCAAGTAGGAGTTGAAAGAAAATACACACTCATGTGGCTAAACCTGACAAGTTTTCATTTTGAGAGCTCATTAAGATGATAGATTAACTATGATAGAAGTCCTCCTTCGATCGATCGTTCCTATGGCAGCTATATAGTAGGTCGATCCGATTACTACATATGTAATGGGTGGAAAGGGAACCGGGACAGACGGACATGTCTCAATCGAATCGGCAGCCTTCGGCTAAGACAACAGAAACCAGAACCTCGTTCTTCAGTTGCCCAAAAGACACCTCATCCTCCAAGAAGTGCACAAATTGTAAAAGCAAGCTATTTGGAATATATGCACATTATATAGTCAATACATTCAAAGTAAATTACTTCATTTAAGCGAACAATTAGCATTAAGTACTCAATTGATTTGTCTCCCTATGAATCCATTGCCACTTGTAGTTTTAGTGCCAATTCTTTAAGACAATGAACCATGCTAGATTCCTTAAAACTCATTGCTAATCAGTTTTGGTATCCGAATGTCAACCGCCGACCACAAAACGATTATTGCACAAAGTCTGGCCATAAAAACTAAACGAATGCACAGAGCAACAGTGGAGGCAACAGAATTCAAATGTACCATACTATACTATAATTTTACGGTCATTAAATATTATTTGAAAATCGAAGACGCAGACCGGTTGAGAACTTAAGCCTTTGTTTGTTCGGTTTGTCTTGTTGGTTGTGTTTGTTTCTCTGTGGGTCCGTTTCATCTCCGACAGAGTTGAGCCATTTCGCTCAGCATAAGTTCAAATGAGCGAGTCACTAAAATGAACAACTAAACTTATTCAGAATGATATGAAAAAACTTTTCAGCTATTCAATTGTTTATGAAAGTTTTACTCCATTCAGTTTGCCCTCGTAAAGAGGTTTCTTTAGTTCATCATAAACCAGCTAGCCTCTATTCATAAAAAAAAACGGTATAGTTATTCTTTCAGTTGTTTTTTTATTATTATTGAAAGTATACAACCTTCAAATATCTCTAAATTCTTGGGTCTTCGCTTGAGATAACATTACAGAACTCAATTGAATTAAGGAACTGAACAAGTTCATATAAGTTCATATGCTTAAGTTCTTGGCTCAATAAGTAAAATTATAAAATATATAAACTTCTATATATTAGTTATAAAGTGAGCTGGCTTAAAGGGCACGTACTCAGCTGATGAGCCGAACATAGTACACAGTTCACCAGTGAACAACTAATGAATGTTTTCATT